AAAAACCGCTCTGCTGTAGTACAAATATAGTCCAAGCCCATATCATCCAACAAAATCTTTTGAACTATAAATGTGGCAACCTGCCATAACAAGATCCTTCGTCAGATAACTAAGAACTTTTACACCATCCCCGTGCATCAGAAAGAGGGGCCTTCTAAAAGTAAAATGACATACTTTAGGAATATAGTTCTTCTACAAAAAATTAGGTGTCAGATAGAAAGCATTCTAAAGAGAAACTTTAATGAAATAATCAGGACACTCAACTGTTTTTGAGAGTTCACTGCCCAATTCCATAGTGCGAAGGCACAGTGGAATTATTTCTGTTGATAGAAGGAAACTAATAACTTCTGTATCATCAACCTGGAAAAAGAACAATATAAAAACAATATGATCATAAGAGGCTGGTGAATAAAAATTAGAGCAAATATCAATTTCCTGTATCTAAGCATGCCTCTGTGCAAGAGGAGGGGTGGAGAATGTGGGTGCAACAATAGTATGACAGGGACTCAGATATTCCCTTGCCTGAATTAAAGATTCATTAGAACTCAAGGTTATAGCACAAACAAAGGAAATGGTCAAGAGAAGTTATCCCATAAAAAGTACCTTCACCAGGGCACCAATGACTCCTAAACTAGTAAGCCTTAAGTACTCAAATGGTCTTGCCTTGCTTGTTGTATTGAGAAAGGATACAGATATAAAGGTATATGAGCTGCAACAGAGAAAAGTTGAACGGGAAGAATAATTTAGAGGTGAATAAGTTATTGCAATTATTAGCATCCGCAGAAATATTCCTATTCTTAAGCAGTACACACAAGGAGAGTTACATGAAAAAGAGCATGATAAAACACAACAACTTAATCATGAAATGCATACTTAAGCACCCAAAGACAAGGGGAAAGACATTATTTCCCAAAAGAAATCGAAAACAAAGACAAAGAAATGCAAGTGAATGGACTTGACACCTCCCTAAATATTTGGGGGCTAAGTCAGCGATTAAGTACCTAATAGCTAATACCATGTCAAGAAACCTTATAACAAGTAAGCATAACATAATCAGAGGGTAAACTCTTACAACAAAACTACAAGAGAAAACAAGGGAGTTAATGTTCAACCTGAAATCAATGCATCAAGATGATTGCCACTACAAATTCAACTTTTAAACAAATATATGTGTCCAGTACCATATTATATCTAGGTTAGAATTATCTTAATCAGTGTTATGCTGTCTTACACTGCATATCCATATCCATGTTTCATGAGAATAAATTAAACTTTTTAATATGTTGATGTTTTCTACGTAGACATGAGCTTTTTGAAAGAAAAAATAAACTTCAAGAACATAAGAATTAAGAACTTCCATTTTTAGCTTGCGAAAACATTATAATGGAGATGTCATAGAGAAAATAACAGTTAATGTTTCATGGCATACATTAATAAATAATTGGACAATGCAGAATTGATTGTCTTGATACGGTTGAATACATTTGAGCCTTAAAGGAAATATAGCTTTATTTAAACAAAACCAAACCAGAAATATAAGCTATATAGCATCATACTACAAGTCTACAACAGGTAGGATAACTTTACACACTATAAAAGATAAAAGGACAAATTACCATTAAGGAACAACATTCTTGTATCTGGGTGTGAAGCTACACACTGCAAGAAAATACAAAACGTAACACAATATTAATAGAATTAAAGTGAGAAATGAAGACTCGAAGATCAGTTACTGAGAAACACAGAATTGATCTTTGAATCTAAGCAATATCCATGGTAAAGAAATGAAAACTAGTAGCATAATCATCAAATCCAGATTTCAAAAGATAACAACGACTACTGTCTGATTTTGATTGACATAAATATGGGCTTTTCATTTTTTTTATTGTAGAAATGGGCCTTGTACATAATTCATTTACTCAAGCTTAAAATTCAGTCCCTATGTTAGTTTAAAAGAAACCATAAAAGGGGAGTCAGAAGGTGCTTCTCATATGGATGAATTACAAAATCATAAGCATATATAAAAAGAACTAACATACGTATATAACAGAAATTTGATACTTGAAACATGGAAATCATGTGACCTGGAGAAGAGCAAGAGCATTGCAAACTCGATTGGATTGTGCCGGAGTCAGATTTGGTGGTGATAGGACAGGGTATATTGAAACTATCTCCTGCAAATAAAAAAGAAACCAACATCAGGGAATAGCCCCAATATGTATCCATCAAAAATGGAATGTCAAAAAACCTTAACATATGAAAATCTCACTCTAAATTTAGAGAAATGTAAACATTAAACAGTTCAACAGTCAACAGTTGTGATCAGAATAGGTAAAGAAAAGCAACAAAGAGAGTCAGCAACGAGTGAAAACTACTACGAACTTCGTTCAACCAAGTTGAAAAATGAGATGGACAATAAATATATGACAAGCATACATCAGATGTAAAACATGTGGGACTTATCCCAAGCTACCAACTTAAACAACAATACAACATACCTGTAAAAGTGCAGCAATAGTACCAAAAGAATTCCACAATAAAGGAGCCAAATCTTGAAATAATTCTCTCTTCTAAAAGTATAAACAGAAAGAAACAAAAATACCTGGATGAGTGCAGCAATAGTACCAAAAGAATTCCACACGAAAGGAGCCAAATCTTGAAATAATTCCTTGTTCTAAAAAATGAAACCAAGGGCACACAGAGTTTATAGGGCAGCATATCAGTGTTGTAATATAAACTGCATAACCACCTAAGGAAAAGTCACAGGCACAAATATTCAACTATAAAATCTGCTGTAAAAACCTACGCAAGCTTCCCTGTGATCATAAACATATAACATGTAAAGCATATAGCAATGCATCAATCAAGATGCTCCAAGTCGTTTATGGGTCGTATTTAATAAAGAAAATGGTAAAATCTTGAATGCCCACTTATAATGATGCAACTGTCAAGTTTCCGAATCCAGTCTCTCACTACAGGAAACAAATTAACTTTTCTTCCTCTTGTTAGTTACTAAAATGAGAAGAAAACAACGAAATTACATAAATAATAGTCAGTTACATCCAAAATTACAAGCCTCAGATGCAATGCTTCATTCTTAATATAGGAAGTGACCAATCAAAATTTGCAAAAGTTACCTTTGAAAGTTCAAGAAGTGCGTTTTCTCGAAGATCAGGATTACTAAGGTCAAGCACCAAGTGCTCTGCTGATGCCATTTTACGATCTTTGTTTGCTTGAGCTCCAGCAACACTTGGTGCTGAAACGCTTGGACCTCCGAATGGAACATTTAATGAAAGCGACTGGGGCCGGTTTGCCATTAATTGCAACACCCTAACTTCTTACTACTCAGGTATGAAACAGATTTTACTATCAAGCAGGGGTAGCCAGACTGCACCTTGACGTACTTAATTCAACTGATTAATCAAACAAGAGAGAGTAAGTATGGAAGTAAAGGGCCATAAACAGAAGCCATTAGCAAGAGGGAGAGTACGAGAATTTTACATGGTTACCAAATATTTAAATAACTTTACTTATAAAGTGCCCATTACCAAAACAACCACTGTGTATAAATTGCTATTTTAAGTGTATGGACTGTCAGAAATGAAAGTTCCAAAACTGCAATGTTTGGCAGTCCGAAAAACAAGACCTAGTGTGAATTGAGTAACTGATGCAATATCTTTTCTCTTTAGTTAAATCTTTTATATACAAAGAAGAATTTCCTTCTTGATATTTCGACCTTAAGAAGACAAAGAACGGAACATTACTGCAAACGAACAGAAAGAAAAACGTATGCGTATTCCTACAAAATTTATGAAATTTCTCTCACAGGCAGACAGAAACACACAGGGAGAAAAAGGTTGCAGAATTATTTATTCAGATAGATGTTTAAGAAATTGAATATCAAGTTATCAACCAAACCCGATTCAAGGTAGACTGGAATTGTATAACATCATCCTGGGTTTGTAAATCACCCCCTAATCGCTCAGGAACAGAAAAAAGAAAAAGGGGGGGGGGGGCGGAAGAGCATGCATCAGGAACACACACTAAATTGCTGCCACAATTGCATGAAATGAAGAGAAATTTACGCCACCCGATTCACATATACAGCAGAATCACCAAGTTTATAAAAGCAATTAAGCATCACTGATTTAAACTAAACATGAACAGATTCTTACGCTTAAAATAATGATACCACAAAACAGATGAAACCCATCTCATCAACCTTTTCAGACAACTTAATACGTAGATTCATTGTCGATATCAAAGCATGAATTTAATAATTAAAGATAAAATTAAAAGATGAAGGGAGGAGGAGGAGATGATTTGGTGGTCGGTGCCTCACCTAAAGAAGAAGCCTTTGGCGGACAATGGAGACGTTGCTGAATGCTGATCTCTGCTCTCTTCTGTCGCTTTTATTTTTAATTTCTCATTTGGGCTTGGACTTCAACTTGGGCCATGTGCGATGAGAGTGCTCAAGTGATAACTTACCTAAAGGTGCCTGAGTTGGCCCACGTGATTTATTGTGGCTTTTTTTTTTTTTTTTTAATTAAGGGGTATTGGGGTGCCCTTAACGAGGACTTGCAAGTTACGGACGGCGGTCATATAATGTCTCACGTCAATAATATAAAAATGTGTTAAAAATTTAACGGATGTCGCCATTTAGTGTTACAATTTAATAGTATTTTCTTTATTTGTAAGTAAGAGGTATTATGTTGGAATCTCGTCAAATGCAAATTTAAACCACATTATTATCAGCTTATTGTAGAACTTAGCCTAGCGGCCCAGCCCCTCATCTTATGTAGATAATATCGTTAGTTCTAAATAAAAAAAAATAAAAAAAAAGACACTAACATATGTTCTTATATTATTAATACTGGACGTCATTGCGTCGGTGAACTCAATTATAAAAAAAATACTAACAGATGTTCTTATATGTAATCCCCACTCTTATTAATCTCCAAAGCCTGATTAGCTTAAAAACTGATGTTCAAACCAATGCTATACAAAAGCAACTAGATATATAAACCTAACTTGAACACATCCATCAAGCATGATCTGTGAAAAGTACACAAATAGCTAGAGTCAGTAATTTTCCGTTTCCTCTGAATTTAAGCCTTCTAAATTGGTTGATACATTCTGTAAACAAATCGCACAACAGGAATCGGGGATGGATGCATTCTATCAATCTCAACAACGGTTTCACTGAATATGATCCGCTCCAAACCTCCAAGCAACAACTAAGCTGTAGTAGGCGATGAAGTAATTCGGTCTCCCTTGCAACCCATTACCAGTTCAACAACACAACACTATTCTTGATCAAGTAACCCTGCCCACAAAATCTCATGGAATTCGATCTTCACTTTACAAAAGGCACGCCCGAAGGAATCCGTTGGCCATATTCCTCGTACTGCGGCCCAAAAAACTGCCTCAAGAAATACTCTTCATACGGAATTCTTTGTGCAAAGAAGCGCCACACTACAAGTGCAAATGCAATTGTTGATACAGGATTACAGAGCATTATTTGAGTACCCAACGACCATATGAAGAAACCACAGTAACCAGGATGACGAACAACTCTATAAACTCCATTCGTAATCAATCTGTGATGCTCTGAGGAATGAGTCCTTATAAGATGTGTAAAGGACTTACCAGCTGTAATTATTGCCATCTTCCGTATGATTTCGCCTATTATGACCATTGCAAGGCCTAAGTTGCTGACCCACCAGTGTTCCTTGAGACCAGGGAACAAAATAATTTCAACACAGTATTCCACCAAGGAAAAAACCATCGCAAGAAGATAGTTTTTGCTGATCAGAAGTGACTTAAGAGTAACGTTTGATTTCCCGTGAATGGCAACGGCTAAAATGTATTCAGAACCGTGAAAAAATATTACTGCCAGGAACATCTGAGACAACTGTCTGCAGGCCGTGTAACTGAAGAGTTGTGCCATGTTTGCTACAATAGTGTGAATCGACTTTTGGATCTGGTTTACTGTAATTAGACCTAAGAGGAATAACTGCCCCAATGAAGTTGCAGCAATCTTTGTCCAAGAGCTGTAACGAAGAAATAAATAGAATCTATGGTTACTTCAGACATGGCACAGAAAAACCATTATATGCAGTTGAAGCCAAAAATAGTCTCTCGACATCACGCCAAATATGCTTCAACAAGCACATATCCTGCACAAAACAAGATTAAGAAGGTCGAGAATAGTTCACATTTCAAGGAAATCACCAGGATTCTGATATGCTAAACATCTTAATGAATATCAACTATGAAACCATACGCGCAGATTTTGAACAAAACAATCAAATCTGACAACACAATTACATGAAATTAAAACACAAAATCAATCAAATTTCAATAATCCAATTTTCTGATTTCTAATTTCAATTTCATGACAAACAAATCACGACTCGCAACTTCGCAAAAAGCATCGAACCTGAGATCTAATTTAACACATGAAATTTGACAAAACAGAAACGCATACAATCTTAAAAACAAAAGGAGGGTTATTTGGAATACATTAACCTTCTGATTATTTCCAATTCAATTACCACAAAAAAGAACGAAAACTGTGATATAGAAAGATTACCTGATGATGATGATTGATACTGAGAGGTACTAATCCGTATGCGCTTGCAGGGGTGTTCTCTTTGCGGTTGTGGGTGAGCGAGCTTACCAAATCCAGTTCAAGATCAAGGAAGAAGCTTCGTTCATATTCATATAGGGTTTTTCTTTTCGTCAAGGCCTGGTGCAGTCTGTCCTCACTCAAATTACGTCCTGGTCCACCTAGTTTGAGCCAAATTTCATTCAAGTCCTTGTAGTTTCTCTTTCGTTGAAAGGCCCTAGTACAATTGGTGCTAATTTTTCCGGTATAGTTGGTTATAATCAAGAAGGGATCTATCATTAGAAAAACTGGCATTCTAAAAAAGTGATTGCTCACGAATTCTTTATACATTTTGCTATCAACATACTCATTTTTATTTCTTACATATCATTTTCAATATTTGACATTCAGAACAAAGATATTGAAAAAAATAAATGAACAAGAATTAACAAGAGGGTTTGGAAAGTAAAAAGAGTGTGAATAGCACCATCTTCTTTATATTTTCACTAGGGATTAGAGTATAATGATTTTTTGAAGTGCAAATAACTTCATTCACAAGAATACTTCTTTTAGACAATCGACAATATTTTGAACTTCTTTTGGGTGGTTTAGCTTAATTATCAATTCCAACCTCCAGATTTTATAGTTTTCAAAATGTAGGAGGGGCATTGGAAAAAGAGCATAGTTTAAGAATCGTTTAATAATCATTTCATTTTCAGTTTTTAGCTTTTTGCTTCAACTTTCATTTTTTTGAAAACGGAAAACTTGTTTAGTAACTTACTTTCATTTTTAGTTTTCAAAAACAGAAAAAACTCAAGAAAGTGATTTTCAGTTTTTATTTTTATGAAAACTAAACGTAATTGTCAAATAAGATTTTAGTTTTAAGGAAAAGAAAAAGAGCGAAAACTAAAAAACGAAATTATTATCGACTAGTTATAGCTAGAGCTTACGAATAGCCCATTTGGGCCTCTCGTTTCTTCTCATTAAATGATTGATGCATAGCAAATCGAGTACATGATGTCCCCTCCCTCTCAAGAAGTACCAAAATTTTACTTGACTTTTGTAGGCATAAATCATAATACTAGTGAACTCAGCAGTCAGCATCATGATTCGTTGAGGCTGCGAATCAGCGTATTCTTTCACACATCACAGGGAGTGCAGGTGTGAAACCTGATGCTTTTAACAAGCTGAATGTTTAAATTATAAGGTTTCCTCCAAACAAAAAGAAGACAAACAATGGCACTTTTCACCCTTGAAGTTAACCCCAACAGCTGAAATATGATAAAATTTGAAACAATCAACTATCAAGTAGTTCCGTCCTGCTACACAACAGCATCGTGTTTCTCAGATTCACAAAGGATCACTTGATTAAATGCCGGATGGGAAATCCATCCTGGAAATCTAAAAGGGCAAGAAAACAAACACTCGTTCACACTCAAAATCCACTACATTTCAACATCATAACAAACACATTATCTACCCCTGCGACGTCGTAGCAGCCAACTGCTTCACTTTGGCTTGCAAAACTGACCCGGCTTCATCTGCAATGCTTTTCTTTTTAGAAGCAACCTGCACATAGCATTGAATTCATGATTTCTTTCTAAATGGGTGCTAAGAGCAATACAAAACGCAGAACAAGGATCATCACCAGCAAACTAACAATCAAAGTTGAAGAAGTTTGCAACCAAAGGACTTTTATACTTTAGGGAAACGATTCCCGCACAAGCGTTTTCTCTTTCTATACAAACCCTAAATGTTTTTCTATCAATCATCATTGACTTATTCAGGCTAGAAACAAACAGGAGGTGTGCAGAATGCACAAATCACTTCTCCTTTGATACTCCGCCTTATTCGATTCATTCCTCAACCAACAAAAGTAACATCTTTCCTCCTACAAGAGCTATTCAACTAAACTACAAGTGAAACGAAGCATCCACAATCAAATCACACAAACAAAATTTGAAAGCTAAACTGTTCCTACCAATTAAGCTCCTAATTCAATTTAGTACATGAGTCCACAATGCGTAACAGAATAAGTCCCAAACCCTAGCACTATCAAAATCAATGGAAACTACTCAATTGTGAAATATAACTTTTTGCAAGATTACATGTTAATAATAATAATAACAAATGAAAAGTTGAACATACCTCGACAAGTTGGTCAAAATTAGATTTGAGCAAGCTGATCTTACGTTCGCAGTAATCTTTGGCCTGAGGCATGGTTTTCTCGATGAAGTAGCCGGTGCCAACGTCGACCAGGACTTGGTGGGCGTCGTGGAGGGTGCCGGGGACATAAAGCGACGCCGTAAGAGGGACGAGCATCTTCTTTCCCTGAGGGCGGAGGGAGAGGTCGTGGAGGGCGGAGGTGGCGATCTCGAGGCGGGCGGTGGCAGTGCGGATGTTGTTGAGTGAGTCCTGGAGAAGATTGACTTCCAAATCGGTTTGTTCTTTGACGGCCTTCAACTGCTCAGGGCTCAGCTTCTCCATCTCCGCTCTCACGTTCACGCTCACCGCCTTCTCCTTCTCCATCTCTCTCTCGATTGATTCTCTAAACACTCTCTCTACACTCCAGAGACTTCCGTGTTTGTTCGCTCCCAACTCTGCGGCTCTGCAATTTTATATTGTTTACTTTATTTGCCTATAATTCAGTAAGTTGGACAACGTTATTGTCGAGTAGCCCCTATAGCTCAGTGGTAGAGCGTCAGTCTTGTAAACTGAAGGTCTGTAGTTCGATCCTGCATGGGGGCAACTTGCTTTTTTCTCTTTTTTTTACAGCTGGCCTTTTTTCTAGTCTACAAGACAATGCTCAACAAAATATCTCACATCCTTGTCATGGCTTGGCTTTGGTTGCTTCTCTACCCAAATATCTTGGACTTGGAGGCTCCTCAATCATCGTCGTCACTCCCTCGTATACTATGCAAGTAATACAAGTATACTACATCTACAAGTCTCCTCCTCCTCTCCTCTTCTTATCTGTCGTCTCTCAGACGTGTGCTTATTAGCAACGTAGAAACAATTAACACCGGAACAGAAGAAATGCCGGCAGCAGCATCTCTGACTCTTCCTCTTCTTCCTCTCTATCCTGCTGCTACCGCTACAAACGCTATAACCAGAAGTACCTCCCCAATCAGATCCAGATCAGCTACTACTTCGTCAAATGTCATAACAATTACCAGATGCAGGGCCGCCAGGGGAAGGCCGAGGAGCGTGGTTGTTTGTTGTTCTGCTTCTAATAATACAAGTAAAGAAAATGCTAGCAGTTCAACTTGTAATATCACAGATTTTGATCTGTACGATCTCATGGGGATCGACAGCAGTTGCGACCGCTCACAGATAAAAACAGCCTATCGCAATCTGCAGAAGCGCTGCCATCCGGACATCGCAGGTCCAGCAGGACATGACATGGCCATCATCCTCAACGAAGCATATGCTCTTCTCTCTGATCCTAATTTACGTTCTGCTTATGACAAGGTACTTATTTAATTTACTCACCATTGTATAATTAATCAACTGAACGACTCCCTTGTTTAATTATGATATAACAAAATTGACCAATGAACTGCCTGCAGGAGCAATCGAAAATCGCACAGCTTCGAGGATACACAGGGAAGCCAATATACTCGGCATGGTTTGGTTCAGAGAGCGAAGAAAGGGCGGTTTTCGTGGATGAAGTGAAGTGCGTTGGATGCTTAAAATGCGCATTATGCGCTGAGAAAACATTTGCGATAGAATCAGTTTATGGAAGAGCCAGGGTTGTAGGACAGTGGGCTGACCCTGAATCCAAAATCCAAGAGGCCATCCAGGCTTGTCCTGTCGATTGCATCTCGTAAGTGTTTTCTCATTTCATTAATTTGCCCCTTGCATTTACATATAAGTATAAATTAATCCGGACGCTGTTATGCTAACCGTGAATGAATCTCTGACTAACTGTTCAATTAGTACCTACATAGTATAGGATTAATCACTTGAACTAATTTAACATATATCATAGGATTGTGGAGAGGGAAAACCTAGCAGCTCTAGAGTTTCTAATGTCAAAGCAGCCACGAGGCAGTGTAAGAATAGGAATGGGGAATGCAGCAGGCGAGCGCGTGGCCAACATCTTTGTTGATGTCAAAAAGTTTCAGAACACATTCCAGGATGCAAAAGATAAAGCTTCTAAGTCGTCAACAGACCTACAAAGTGAAGCAAGACTATCAGCTATTCAAGCCATCAGATCAATCTCCAACTGGTTGTATTGGAAAACACCCTATTCCTCCTATTCAAATGCAGCAGGTGATAAATCCACTACTCCTCTCCTATTAATGGCTGGTAAATCCAAGGATCAGCCAAATATTGGCAAGCTCCGAGATGCAGCTGCTGCTAGGAAACAGGCAAGAAATCATCAGACCACAAGGCCCCTCCAGAGTAGTTCGTCAAGTAACGAGGAGGACTACTATTGGATGCCATTAACCAATGCTCTTCCTGCAGCAGCAGCAGCATCAGCCTCATCAACCCAAAACAACAACTCCAACTCATCAACAACAGGTTTCAGCCTCATCATTAGACGAATGGAAGCCAACAAATAATAATGCTGTCGGTGATAATGGTTATAGATCACAAGTAGCACAAAGGAGTCCCAACCCCATTAGATGGTTGGCTCCGATGGTGCCAGCAACATTGATGGCTGCAGTTGTAGGTTTACAAGGTGGAGACAGGGCGGCTGTCAGTAATGGAGGAGGGATAAAGGAGCATATAGGTGGCTCTTTTGCGCTGGAGATAGTTAACAGTTCTTGGTTACAGATCCTATTGGTTGCCATTACTTGGTACATCATTGGCACAATCATTGTAGGAATTGCAGATGCCTTTCAGAGCAAGAAAAGTTAGGAGGATTCATAAATCAAACTTACAGTAGTTAATCATAAAAAAAAGTGACAATTACATTGTTATATATATAATTAATTTAATTAATACGTAGGATTGTTATAAATTCTGTATGGGATTTCTTTGTCTAATGTAGTTTTGTTTCTCCCTTTTTCTTTGATCTGCAAAGTAGAATCACATAAAAGGAAGAAGTTGTACGTAGAATCCCGTTTCTGGAATCTGTTGAAATCTAATAGGAAGTTATATGTTTTTATTGTTCACGTGCTTTAACCGTTGATATCTCTAGAAGTCTTGACCTCCAAGCCAAATCTTGCAGTACCTTCCATTTTTATTTCCATGACACTACTTTGTGTGCAAAAACAAGGAATTTCCCTGCCAATTAATTAACATAGCATCTGAAGGCCTAGATTGTAATAAATTTGGGGCACAAACATGTTGATCCTTGAACAATGTCCCTTTTGTTATGGGCAAAAGAGGTTTCCTATTCTATTTGGACGTAATTTAGAAAAGTATATAAGGATTTCTAATCAGCTTGTGATATGCGTATCCCCTTAGGTTCTAGCTCTATATAAGTAAGCATCCATACGCGAGATATTCAACAACGATCGACCAATACTAAGGGCTGGTTCACGACGAGGAGAATATAAGATTGAGACTCGGGATAAAATGAAGAAGCATATGCGTTCAACTTTTTAAACCCCAAATATAATCCAAGTGATCGTGACAGTGTGGGCAGTTCAGCCCTAGGTGGTGTTTCCGCTACACAGGTTCAGAATGCAATGTCGAATTCGAGTGCACATCCTTTCAAGGCTCATAACAGCCATACTGATATCGATACCAATAATGATAGCAATAGGAAAAGTAAAAGTAAAAGCTGTGGAGACAGTATGATCATGTACAAGTGGTGGGAACATCTTCTAAAGGATTTAATTGAAGAGATAGCGAAGCGGCTAAGCCTTAAAGACAGAGTAAGAATGGGGGCTGCGTGTCGATCTTGGAGCATTGCAGCATCAAACTGTTCAAAACAATTAACAAGAACAAGAAACAGCAGCCAGGAATTGGAATCTGTTCCCAAAATTCTAATTCCATGGGTGATAGAATCTCATTCCTCTCCATATTCAACAAAGGTGATGTGTAGTATGTACAATCCAAGTGAAAACAAAATCTACAACAACCTCAACAGGTTTGCACTATTTCCTGCACCAGTTGGTCCAAAAGATGACGACGCCCCTATTAGTAAGCATGTTGTAAACTACCGGGTAATCCGGTGCTTGGGGTCTGTGGAGGATTGGCTGATGATTTCGGACTGCGTATGGCACAAAACCTGCAGGACTACCAACCTTGAGAGTGCCAAGGTGAGGCTCTACTTGTTCCGCCTAATGACAGGTGATCATGTTAGGCTGCCAAGCCCAGGCCCAACCCCAACCCCAACCGCAAGTTCCCAAGAATACTAGTAACAATGCATGCATTGTGGCAGCAATTGCAGCAGACAGACGTATGCTGTTGTTTTACAGGCCAACTGATGAGAAATGGACATGCCAGTTGAACGATAAAAGAATTTGTGAAATTCAATTCCATGATGATGGCAAGTTGTATGCATTAGAGATGGAAGATATTCGCCGTGTGGTTGTTTTTGATCCCTAAGAGGTGCTTGCAGATTCTGATCAAAGCACTATATTCGAGGGCAAGACATTAGATGTAACAGTGCCCGATCTTATTCCTCATGAAATGCATTCTTCGACAGCGTCCTTGTTCAGTTCCTCCAAAGGTGATATCATGTTCTTTTGGCGGGATGAGCCTTATACATTTATAGTGTTGAAGTTGAAGTTTGACGATGCAAATGGTTCACCAGAATGGGTAAAGATGAACGGCAGTCACTATCTCAAGGACGAGGTAATCTTTGTAGGTGGCGGAGTAAACACCTCGGTTCCTAGGTCCAAGCTGGACAACTACTCACCAAACTCGGACGAGTTTCTAGGATTGGGAGGTGTAAACTGCATCTATTTTCCTAGCGAGGTAGATGTTCGCAATATTTGTGTTTACAACGTAGCCCAAGGGACACTAGTCAAGTATCCTCCTACCCGGCGTGGACCAGGCGCCCTTAAACCACATCGGACGGTTTGGTTTACACCCAAAACTGTCGTCAAAGACTATACAAGTACTGATCCTGCTCCTGTCGTCGAAGAATGTCATCCAACTAACACTGACGATTGTGACGAGGAGGAGGATGAAGATGCTACGATTTGTTTCTCCAACAATTTCATGCTGCTACAATCTCTTCATCCAGATTGAATAACATTCGTAATATATAGCTAGCTATACTTACAGAACATGGAACCTTTTCATTTGTAATTAAGGATGGTATTTCTTGTTTAACTTGTGGTCATCAACAAGGCAACTTTAATATACCTTTGTTTGATTTTCTACCTTCATCAACAAGGTCATTAGCTACACACATTATATATATCCATATATATACATATATATATATGTATATTTCTTTACCACATGAAGTGAGGAATTACCAGTTCGTCAATATCTTAGTGGCAATCAGTCTTTCTGTTTAATATATAGGCAAAAATTAACTATACGCTTTCATCAAACCATGAACAACCCCTCCTCAACCTCAACGAAATCATGAATACCTACTTGTGTTCTTGGTTTTGAATTGGACTCTAATAAAAAGGGAAAAAACCTAATTAAATTTGCCCAAAACAAAAACAAAAAATAGAGGCCGAAACCCTAATCACATCGTCTCAATCGCGACCAACTCCCTTTGCCAGAATAACACAATCCCAATTTCCCTGCAACTTCCACAGACTTCGCCGCCACCCCTTCACCCAACTCCCCACAGGTGCCCTTCTCATTTTCTTGTTCTACTATTTTTCCAGCTTTTTGGTCAGTACCTCTGTGTTAATCTGCTAAATGGGTTTACTTTTTTGGTTGGTATTTAACTTAAAGTTTTGATTTTTAGTCAAGACCTGTGATCGTTGCCTCATTGGTTCGTCTGAAACTTTATACTATTAGCCAACTCCAATCATTACTTTTTTGGTTTTCTGCATGTGGGATGTCGTTTTAACAAAATATCACGTCATTTCGAATATTTATCAGTTGTACTTGCTTAGCCTGAAAACTCTGCCGATAGTAATAGGATCGCTCCAGAATCTTTTTATTTTGAAAAACTTCCAAACATTCTATAAAAATGGTAATGGTATATATTAGTTGTGATGATTATTATGAAATTATGAATAAGACAGATCAATTTGTTAGTGTTATTAATGCAACACTACTACTTGCTGCAGTCATATTTTCAACATACCTGTGAAGGTACATGGGACCATCGATAATCACAAACAGTAGCAGCAGCAATAGTGATAGTGGTGACAACGTCGACAACAGGTGGTCCGACTATCTTCCAAGGGAATTAATTGAAGATATAGTGAAGCGGCTAAGCAGCGTTGCAGATTCAGTAAGGATGGGTGCTGTTTGTGGATCTTGGAGCAGTGCAGCATCAAAATCTTTAAAAGAATTAAGAACAAGAAGCAACAGCAGCAGCCAGAAAATTCCATGGGTAATGGAATCTGATTTTTGTCCAGGGTCACGAGATGTCAATTGTAGAATCTACAGCCCAAGTGATAAGAGAATGTACAAGTTCGCACCATTTCCGGCACCAACACCAGATGATCACAAACACATGCTCAGGAAGCATTTCTGTATCAAACACTATCGGGGGATCCAGTGCTTGGGCTCTGTGGATGAGTGGCTAATGGTTGCGGACCGCACATGGCACAGGCCTTGCCGGGCTAGGGGCGGTGAGAGTGCCAAGGTCAGGCTCTACTTGTTCAATCCAATGACAGGTGATCATGTTATGCTGCCATCTTAATCGCCTTTCATCTCACCCAAGGATTCATTCTTAGAAAAGATAGTGGCCTCTTCAGTTCCCGATACTGATCCTAATAATACTAATAGTTGCATTGTGGCAGCAATTCCAGCAGGCAGGAATGCTTTGCTCTTTGGCAGGCCAACTGATGAGAAATGGACTTGCCAGAGATGGTACCACCGAAAATGTGGCGATCTTCTATTCCACAATGATGGGAAGTTGTACGCAATGGTGCAGGAAGATATCAGTTATCTAGTGGTTTTCGATCCCCAAGAGGTTATCTCCTCCAAAAATGAGTACAGGGGAAAGACATTATTTGTAAGAGTTCCCCACGACATTCCTGGTGAAATGGAAGATGCGAGAGCGTACTTGTTCAGGTCCACCAAAGGTGACATTATGCTCTTCTGGTGGAGTGAAGTGGAAGATATATATCTGATGTTGAAGTTGAAGTTTGGTGTTCAAACTCGTCAAGCTGAATGGGTAAAGGTAAGCGGTAGTCATGATCTCAAGGACGAGGTGATCTTTGTAGGAGATGGAGGAAACACCTCGAGTTCTATGTCAAAGCTAACCAACTCATCAATCTCCGAGTTGTTGAGCCTGAGAGGTGGAGGTGGAAACTGCATGTACTATGATGGCGAAGAAGTTGTCCGCCAGATTTGTGTTTATAACGTAGCTAAAGAGACACGAGTCAAATATTATTATTCGAGCAGGAAAAAGCCGTACCGCCTTCTCGGCAGTGGCGACGCACGGGCACCAGACGTCGTTGAACCACAACGTAAACAGGTTTGGTTTACACCCAAACCCGTCGTCAAAGATTACAACTCGTAGTCTTAGACCAACCGACCAAATTTCATTCTGTACAATTTCTCCAAGTTCGTATTTAGATAGCTAATTACATTACAGTGGATTGAATAATTTATTTTTCTTCATTCGAAGCTGCTTAAATTCTTGTTATTTTGATTTCATCAAAAGAAGCTAAGAAAAGCTTATACAATTTTCTTTTTTTCTTTCGTTCCAGTAAGGAGCAGGATTACGTGACCTGACATAGGTAAGTCGATCAGACTAAATTTCAAGCATCAACAATCCAAGGACTAGTCAAATGCTTGACGCAAATGTATTTGCTATTTGATGATCTATGTAACGCGTTGCCTACAACCTCTCAATCTTAAAAATAACTTATTAGACCCATCATCTTCTTCCCAAGTCCATAAAGCACTTTCATTAATGCCACAACGTAAAGAAAATAAGATGTCCGTTAGCCGGGTTACACATTTCAAAGGTTCAATGCAACTCCAACCAATTTCAAATTACAAGATATTCCCCGAAATGAATTACATGTCTGCAGGGCTTAGTAGCGGTACTTGGTGGAGTAGTCCTTGGGAGCAATGACCAGACCGCGTCCCTTCCTTGCCCCACGGTACACTGTCTCAACAATGTCAATGAACTCTTGCTTGTCCTTGAGAGCCCAGTTGATCTTATTGTTGTTCCCCGTGCCAAGATCAATCATAATGTGCTTGTTTCTGAAAAAGAACATCACTGTCGATGGATCGTACAGCTCATACATCGTGTTGAAATCAGGAACCTCTGTGATGTCCACAAGGTAAATCACAGCAAAGTTTTTTAATGTCTCAGCAACCGAAGCCAGCACCTCATCCATCTAATAAACCGGACATGATAACCAACCGCAAGTTAACCGGCAGCTTTCAAATTAGGGTTAATAAATATATCCAATCTACTGAAAAAAGAGAGTTGATAAATGAAACAAGGATCAGAAAAGAGGCTTCATATACATAATACATGGTGAAAAGATCATTATAATTCGGACTACTTTTCATGAACACGGTCCATCTAACTTAAAATTTTTCATCACAATAAAGAAATGATCCGTATGAAAATAAATCGTTGCCCGTCACCACAGTGAACACTGAACAGCCAAACAAAAACAGAGAGAATTTCATAGAACACTGAAAACGGTTTACAAGATCGAACATTTACGATATTAGTTGATAATTTGGCTTGCTCGGGAATCAGTATGGAATATATCAATATACGAGATTAGTGGAATTTCAAAACTGCTTCATACTTGGGTAAAATTTTACTAAATTAGTCTAAGCAACTCAAATCTTCAAGCATACTGCAAATACGAAAGGTTTACATACACCAAAGAATTTCAAAGGATATAATTACTATATGCATATACGAAATAAAACCCTAGCAAAAGTCAGCCACACCTACTCGGTTGCTTAAGAATCATCGTCTCTCTCCAAAATAATAGGATTTTACCATGTAATCGAATCAATTTTGAATAAAAAATAAGAACCATAAAAAATAAAATTAAAATTAAAATTAAAAATTAAAAGAATTGAGGATTTAGGGTTAACGAAAGCTGCGAAAAAGGAATTCGAACCTGCATACAGGTCTCATCCCAATCGTGGCCGAATCGGATGAGAACGAGACGCTCCTCCTCGGCGAGGATGGCCTGATCGACGGCCCATCCTGAGTGGAGGTGCGGCAGCAGATACGACATCGTTTTCCGTCGACCCTCTCCCTCTCACCCTCTCCCAATCAAAATAGTTGACAATTTTTTAAGAAAGAAGAAGAAAGGATGCTACGCGCCCCAACCAACTTATACCAACATGTAGTCGGTGGGGCATCGTTGCTTTTACGAAAAACATTTTAGAACCGTTGGATGAAACGAAGGGTCCAGATTAAAACTTGAGAAAGGAAACGGACTGAACCCGTATGACCGGAACCGGAATAACCCGCTAGTCCAGGGTCCAAGCATCTTGGATTTGGCTCTGCAACTGTTTTGCCTCTCTTCCAATAAGTTTTTCGTTCAAGAATTAATGAATTAATATTAAAGATAAGAAAACAGCAATCGTGTGAACCTGAGATGATAATATTGATGCGAATGAAAGCATTAACATCAAAACAAACAAGAAATCGAGTCTTTCCATGACTCGTAGCTCAATTGGTTAAGAGTATCCAACCTCGTCATCCGAGGTTCCGAATTCAAATCTCCTCCGCCAAGCATCGCTAGTATAAGAAAAGGAATCAAGGCTACGAAATATGAATCAAGCAATTGAATTAATTAATGGAAAGGGAAAAGGGAAAGAATTACCTGCATGCAATTGTCGTCCCAGTCATGGCCGAATCGGATGATGACGACACGCTCTTCCTCGGCAAGAATGGCCTGGTCGACGGCCCACCCTGAATGCAGGTGCGGTAGCAAGTACGACATTGTTATTGTTGGTCGATCACTCTCAGCCGCACGTCTAAATTCCTTATTTCATAATTATTCGCAGGAGAATGCCCATGGCCCTATCAATGCTTGTGACTGGTTAGGATTGTGGAAGCCTCCAGAAGGATCTGGACCTGTTACCTTTTTTCTTTTAATAAAAATAAAATAAAATAAAAAACTAATTTGGTGGAAATTGCAATGTGCCCTCGACTACATGTCATATTTAACCGTGTATATTTAATTTAGTGAAATTGCTAAATTGTTTCTTATGAGTGACTACTTCTTAAGAGATTAACTACATAATTTATTTTTTAAAATAAGCAATTGACCCGTTAGATTTTATCCATTTTTCTATCCATGATGCAATGGCTGGATTGCCCTATTGAAATTGAGATTCAAACTAGCGTTCATAAAAGGAATACATTTGCTATAGCCAATATAATTAAGGTCATGTTTGCACTACATTCAATTTGATAAACTTTGTTTGAGGGTCCAGTATTTCAAAATCTTTCTCAAAATAGAAGTACATTCTCTCTAGCTAATGTGATCAAGGTTCGCCTGCACTATATTTAATTTGATAAGCCCTTTTCACTTTAAGTTAGCACATTTTTAAAAGGTTCAGTCATCATTGGTTTATTACGCTTAAACTAAAGTTAATATACTTTTGAAAACCCAACAGAAGAAAGTAAATTCGAGTTCAATAAATTAAAGTAAAAAACATGTCGAAATAATAGTATGAGTGAAATTTTTTATTGAAAAGACCTTAGTATATAATTAGGAACCTGTAACATACTTAGAAAAAAAAAAAAGTTGCATATTCCAAATATTGCTTTTACTAGATGAAAAAAAATTGCATTTAAAGTATAAAACTATGGCAACATGAGCCACAGTCATGCACAAGTTAGATTCAAAATTGGAAGTCCAAGAGGAAAAAGGGAACCGGATTCCGTCCTGAGTTTAAGAGGTTAAGCCTCCTAAGCAAAATACCCAGAGCGTTGAAATTTGATCTAATAATTACAAATGAAGATTCTTTTAAAAATTATAATAATTATAACCGTTGGATCAAATTTCAACTATTCGTATAATTTACTCAGGAGTATATCCTGTTCCTGGAAAAACGATCCAAATCTGGTTTGCGTAAAAGCGGGGCCGGCTCGGGTTCCAAAAAGTGAAAATAATACCGACGTGGCAAGGCAGGAGTTGGACTTAGCTGAGGCAATCATGCGAAGTTGATAAGGAACCGGACGATAAGACCTAAATTATCCTATCCAACATCCATCCTCAGACAATCCCTTCGAACTCCAACACTCTCCAATCCCCAGCTCCTTCGTCTCTCTCAATCTGCAAGTGCAATGGATGCTTTTTGTTCTTCTCCTTCCTGCTCCTCTTCTCTTTTGACCAAGCAGGCGCTTCCTTCATGCTCTTCAATCAACATCGCAGCACGACTGGGCACCGTCTCAGTCCTCCACTTGTCCATGCCCTCCCTCAAGCCTCGAGCTTTTCCCAACTCTATCAGAAAACAGAGTCTAATTGGGCTCCCAAGGGCCTCCATCGCTGTTGAGCAACAGACCCAGGAGTCCAAACTAGCCCTAATCAAAATTGGCACCCGAGGAAGGTACATTTTTTATGTTTTTCCCCATTGTTTACTTCTGGGTTTCCTCCTATTTGAAAGTGTAATCTGATTTTAGCTCAATTACTCCAATTATCCCTGTTATCTGTAGATTTCTAGATTTAAATATGCTCAATTGTGCCAACAATCGGTGATATTACTTCAAATTTAAAAACTTTCTGAAGATTTTTCTTAGGACAAATGATGTGATTTTGATTGTATTTTTATAATCTTTCAAACTTTGACTAAATAAGTTATAATGATGGATTTCTTTTCAAATCTTGTATTTTATGTCTTTTTTCGTGAGTTATTGATACTCTTTCTGGATATAGGATAGCCCATTAGCACTTGCTCAGGCTTACGAGACAAGAGAGAAACTCATGGCATCGCACACTGAGCTAGCTGAAGAGGGCGCAATTCAGATTGTTATCATAAAAACTACGGGTGATAAAATACTGAGCCAGCCCCTTGCAGACATTGGCGGGAAGGGTTTGTTCACCAAGGAAATAGATGAGGCACTCATCAATGGCGATGTTGACATTGCTGTCCACTCAATGAAAGACGTGCCTACCTACTTACCCGAGGAGACAATTCTTCCTTGCAACCTTCAGCGAGAGGATGTCCGAGATGCATTTATATCTTTAACTGCATCTTCTCTTGCAGATTTGCCAGCTGGAAGCACTGTTGGTACTGCTTCACTTAGAAGAAAGTCACAGATACTCCATAGATTTCCAACACTCAATGTAAGCTACCATATTATTCTTTGGTGTCACGTGCATCTCTGACTTCTGCTTATACCATGTCGAGAAGATTGTTTGCTAGCTATGTGTTTGATTTTGAAAGTCACGAGGCTTGTATTTTGCCTGGGTCATTGAATGGATATACATTGGTCCGTTTACTTCATTCTATTGTATCCCGGTGAAAAAATCTTGTCCTAAGAAGGGGTTGTGTGTGTGTGTGTGTGTGTTGGCGTGACGTAGGGTTGGGTTGAAGGTCCGTTGTATATGTTCGTTATCTGAATGAAAATGCTAAGTGATGGTGACTTTAGTTCCTTCCTAGCCAATTGCCTTTATGAGAAAATGTTTAGGATGGATTTGAAGTGGAGCTAGATGTTCAGATCCATGACATGCATGGCCTTTGATTGTGGCTTGTCAGGAATAATTAATAGGGCGATGCAGCTGCCCCTTTCCTTCCTGAATACGATTGAAGCATGACTCTTTTCTTATTTCCTATTTATAATTCTCTATACCTGTGTGTTTGCACCTCTCTCCCTAGCACTATTGCATGCCATTTCTTAGGTTTGTGACGTTTCTCCTGTTTCTTTTTAGTTTTTATTCACGTTGTGGTTAATTTCATTTTGCAGGTGCAGGAGAATTTTCGGGGTAACGTCCAGACACGGCTGAAAAAGCTTAATGAAAAGGTGGTCGAAGCAACCTTATTAGCACTGGCTGGACTCAAACGCTTAGATATGACAGAAAATGTGACTTCAATTCTTTCACTAGATGAAATGCTTCCAGCAGTTGCCCAAGGGGCAATTGGAATAGCCTGCCGAACCAATGACGATAAAATGGTGTGTATAAATCTTTACATTTCCATTCTCAAGCTAACAGATTGAATAATGTTGTACTTTTGCACTAGTTGAGTAAAGTACTTTCATTGAATTGGCCCCATGAACACACACTTGGGTATTTAGCAGGAAGTGTTCGAAATAGCTAAAGGGAAGCAATTCTAAGCTATTTTAGTGTGAGAGTGAGTAGTAGCTAGAAAATCATGGATCAATAAAATTTATGCAAAAAATTGAATCTTTAGATCCATTTGGATTTGTGAATGCAAATGCTTCTGAACTTTCCTGTGGTGATTGATATATATAGATATATATGTATGTATGTATGTATGTATGCGCGCACACACACACACACACATTATTTCTGGGTTAGTACGAAAACCTTGTGCAATATTAATGCAGAAATTGTGGCCTCCTAACTGCTAAGCTCTGCTTTGCCTCTCCAAAATATTATTAAATTTTTGGTTCTTCTTTTCCTTGCAGGCTAATTACATAGCGTCCTTGAATCATGAGGAAACAAGACTAGCAGTTGCATGCGAGAGGTCGTTCCTTCTGACCCTGGATGGGTCTTGTCGAACTCCTATTGCTGGATATGCTAGCAAAGATGAGGATGGTAATTGCATATTCAAAGGGTTGGTGGCTTCCCCTGATGGAACCCGTGGTACGCTTGTGCTCATACTCTTAAGGAACATTCATTCAGTTTTATTTCCTTGTTCTCCACCGTAAACTTAAAAAGGAAAGAAAAGAAATTAATTTTTGGCACTAATGATGCTCTCCTTCTGTCTATTTTCAGTACTTGAAACTTCTAGGAAAGGCCCGTATGCTTTTCAAGATATGATCGACATGGGTAAGGATGCAGGCCAGGAACTTCTTTCACGTGCAGGTCCAGATTTTTTCGGTATTTAACACGAGACTTGCTAATAGAGAAAGCTGCGGAAGTCAATGCAGCCTTCCTTCCTCCTCGTGCAAATTTTGGTGGTTGCAACCAATTAGTTTATTTATCATCCTTTGAGCTGTCTGTTGTAACGTTAGTATTTGTTTTTCTCTGATTTTGTTGCTAGAAAGAGCGTCCGTTACATTTTTAAGGATAGTTGTTTCATTGATTGTATATTAGCATTTAGAAGATAAATCGGTCACACTATAGGCTTAGCTTGATTGTTCTCTGAGTTCATTTAATTGCCAAAATTTTGTGACTCTCTCTCTCTCTCTCTCTCTCTCTCTCGGCTGTAGATCACACATGATTCGAAATGGTTGGTAGTTTTCTATGACCTACAGTTAGTTTTCGTTTATGGTGGCTGCCTGCTCAGGGATGCAAATAAACGAAAACTTACTGTAGAAAAAATGGCGACGCCTAATCCTGCATCTGGACGGCTATTTTTGTTTATGGTGAACTTACAGTTACAGGGGTCCTGTTCCCCACTAAATGTATGCACAGGTATTGCAGATTCGTTTCACGCAACTGCTTCAAAGTTTGAAAGATTCCACCAATTAAGACTAGGAAATCTGACTAGTACGATTGATGGCAGAGGCTAACCAAGCTTCCAAATAATCGTTTACTTATTGACATCAAGAAGAAGAAGAAGATAAGGAATGCTATAAAGGTTTCGAAGGGAGTTTCCGGTTAGCCAAGAAGTGTTCAACCAGGAGGAGCGACTGCCTGGGCGCAAAAACCGGAACTTCATGGCCTGCGCCTCTAATTGTGACAAACATAAGCCCGTCGTACGCAACTCTCCACCCGCCAACCTATCATATCAAAATTACAATTAATTAATTAATTAAAAACAGGATATCAACCGAACCAAATCAAACCAACAAAATACGAAAAATGCTAAGAGGATACTCAGGAGTGAGGGAGCACCTGCTGCTTGTTGTACCAAGGAGTCCAATCTTCATTAATCTTCAACCTGAGCTTTTTCAATGCGTATCTAGTTGATGTTACCGGAACTCTCCCATCAGTATCCCCGCTGCATATCATGTCGGATAGCAGTTCTATACAGTTAATGATGTACTATTCATGATCGCAGAACTTCAATCATTGAAAGATTTGGTAATTAGCTTTTCATTAGTTCATGAATGATGAATCATTTATTCAAGTACCTATAAATCCAAACCCGGAGACCCCCAGCCACAAGCCTTCCAATTACAGGAAGAATTGATGGTGGTGCATCCTTCCAGAACGTGATGTTATCGCTGCATTTGGATGATATATATTCTGATGAGTAATCACATTCATATATATATCAACACATATGACCACTTAGTTCTTGCATCATTAGTTAATTAATCTGGTGAATCAATATGTAGTAGGTTAGAGGTGGTACTTGCAGTGAGACCATGGATAGGAGATTTTTGTTACATTGGCATGAAGTGCTTTTTGAACGTCAGGCCTGTTCAAATACACATAACTGTAATCTGATGTACAAGGGTCATATCCTGCAGGTCTCTTTTGCCGTACGTCCTGCGCCACAAATTTGTAGTCAACTTTATTTCCTCTAATTATTTCATTTTTTTGTTTGGCATGGTAACATAATGAATAAATATAATTAGTGGGAACTACTTACGGCTCTGGAAAACAGAGTGGGAGCGCCTTGAATCGTACGGGAGTGTCTGTTGGTGCTGCTGCTAGCGTTGCTGAGGCACGTAGGGGTGTACAAGCTGTACATGTCTATGATATCGTACACATCAAAGTACTCATCTAGCAGCTTGTTGCACTGTTCTGATATGTTTTGTTGGCTGAAGTCGCATTCCTTCTGAATATCAAGGTACAAGCGATCAGAGATCACAGCATGATCCCACGCATAATCAATCAATCCCTTCTGCTCTGTTTCATCATCTATTGCTGCGTTACCAATCTGCATCAGCGCATAGCTAGTTCGTGAATGGGACGCATAAAATTGAGCAACGAAGAAAAATATTTATATGATGAGCAATAAGTAGCTAGATAAAAAATGATGACCATGAATCCCTTGAAGTTGATACGATTCTCCTTGGATCTGTCAAAAAGGAGCTCAGAAAGCTGTGGAACATAATGCCCTGTAAAATGCACATGGACATACAGAAGAATAAGATATATAGTTAATCAAAGCTGCATGCATGATATATATCTATACACACTCACACACACACACACACATATGTGTATATATGGTTATATACGTATATATAAAGCCTATGTATATATTAAGTACCTGCGTAGCTCTCTCCAGAAATGTAGAAGTCATGGGACTTGTACTGTGGAAACCGTTGAAACCAGTTGATGATAAAATTGTAGGAATCCTCAGCTAGCAGGCATTTTAAGAAACAAAATGGCTGAGTCGTATAACTTGCAGATTCATAAGAAATGGAAAATTGATAGACAGTCGTGTTAATCTAATCAGATACCGGTAATTGTATCGCCAAGTTCCCGAATATCTTGACTAGTATTGGTGTAAGAAAAACCGACTCCAACAGGAGACTCCAAAAACAACAGATTGGCAGCTGAAAATGAATTACAGACAACATTACGCGTGCACGATTAAGTATTCATATAAGAAAACGATCATCTCAATGAGAAAATTAAATTATGTGTCCTATAAATCTAAATGTAACAATGTCTTTTTCATTAGAAAGTTGCAGTTAAGCTGGCAAGCAATAAAATTACCATTGTTCCAGGTGTAAGGGTTGAACTTGAGCTTGGGTTTGGTGTCATTTTGAGGGAAGAAAGGGCCTAACTCCTCCATTGCTCCGTACCCAATTGATGAACATCCAGGCCCTGCATCCACATCAGGATTTTTATTTTGAATTAATTTAATTTCTCAAGACTAGATAGACAGTTTAGTGTAGTTGTGTATATACCGGAGCATATAGTATGCGACCAAAGCCGTTCATTTACCTCATTTATACTAGTATTTTCAGAGAATTTATTCATTTTCTATCAAATCTATCAAACGACAAAATAAAAACGCACATGTGACATAGCTAGAAAGCGAAACAGAACCAAATGGGCCATTGCCTACTCTACTCAGCGCGTATAAAGAGAAAATTTCTATCATTATGAATGAATCTGTGATGCAATTGCTGGTACTACCAAATAGGTAAAACTAGACAGAATACCACTATATATATATATACAGACACAGCTCCATTCTTTTCAATTTTTATTTTATTTTAAACATTTTTAAATGAAAAATCGAGGGCATCTCTATTAGGTAAATGAAGCCAGAGACAAAGTCAGGTTCAGAGCAATGATAATCATACTTGCGGTAGAAACTTTAAACTTTATAAGGAAAAGGAATTGGGAATTAATCCATCATTGTAGGGTCTGACGGCTCCTCCGATAGTCCGATGAGGATATGGAAATTACACGCGCGCCTGTACATATATTATTCTTTTCATTTGCATGCATGGTATCCTGATTTTCAAATGCGGTTTAGAGGAATTTATTAATTTGAAAGTCTCCTTCTAATTGAACCTATCTATATGAAACAAAAACATAATTAAGCTCACAATTATATTATATATGACTATGGAAAATAAGAAAAAAATGATGACAGGGAAAGAATCGATGGCGAATGCACAACAAAAAGATGAATATATGATTGTGACAGGTTGGATATTTTTTTCACAACAGGGAGTGAGACTATATTCGGGGTAGTTTCTAGTGATAAATGGCAAGAAACGAATAAAATTTACCTTAAAAACTAATAAACTAGGTGATCATGAGAATATAATGTATACGAAATTATTTTGAGTGAAAATTCTCCACCAAAAAAAATAAAGGAAATTTGTGCATGAATTTTTGAAGAATAATTAGAAAAGTTGTTTAACGAGGAATTGTGTGTTAACTACGGTAAGAAACAGTGGTGTGGAAATTAATGACGAAGTCACGTACCTCCATTAAGCCAAAGGAGGAGGGGTTTATCTTGAGGGTTGTTGATGGCTTCAAAGAACCAATAGAAGAGTGCTCTTCCGTGAGTCTGGTTGACGGTAACGTATCCGGCGTAATGCTTGAAGCTCACTGGAGGCTGTCCGGGGAGTCCAGTCACCTGGTCTGCCTTTTGCTGTCTCATATGATCATGATGCTGATGCAGTCTAGCGCCTAGGGTTCGAGTCGCACAACATATGGTAAAAGCAAGCAAATAAAGAAGAATAATATTCAAAGGAAACGAAGAAGAAAAAGCCATTAAAGTTGGGAACTTGGGACTGAGACTTTCTTCTCTCTCTCTCTGTCTATCTTTCTAATTATTATCAACAGAGAAATCCTATTTATGAGGCACGTCAACAGCACAAGTAGCTAGTAGACTAGCTAGTAGTAGTCGTAACAGTCGGACTAGTCCAAATCCAAGACAGATCATTCGTTCATATATAGAATGAGACCCTGATCGTCTAAGGGTGCGGTTTATAAAGTAAGTCCGAGTGGTCCAAAGACACATAAGAATGCTAGTTTTTCTTATCGTTGCTATTGATATGGTTTCATCTTGCTATTTTCTAGAGAATCAATAATAATTTTCTATTATTATTATTATTAGGGAAATGATTTTTCACACGCTATTTTTTTTCTACGTCTTCTATTTAAAAGTAATATATGTAAATTGTAACGTAATTATTGAATTGAACAAATCAAGGGTCAAAATCAAGAATCAATAGATTACGTGCATAAATCACTCTCCTTATTATTATTATTATTATTATTATTATAATTATTTCTTCTTTTAAGTTTATTCTCAATTGCTAGTTGTCTGGCCATCTTCTTTTGGAAGTATACATGTAAATTGTAATGTAACCTTGAGGACGTAGTATCCAAATGCATCAATATACTAGTAAAATATGGTATAAATTGTCATTTTGTATTTGATTTTTTGTTTGTTTGTTTGCTTGCTTGCGTAGAGTTGAACCAAAGGGACTCTTAATTTGGACTATTAAAAGCGTACGTTTAAACATGTATATGTAGATAATGTATATTTTAAAGGGAATTGACGTAGATACACCTTCACATCAAAGATGTACTTTATTTTACACATGCATGAAATATAAAAGCTAGTCATAAATACAAGGATCAAATTTGACACCCATATTCTCCTTGATTTGATCTGTGAAATATATTTGTATATCGCAACAGAGAGATTTGCGTTTGGCCCAGTCAATTGCTTTGACTTGTAATGACACACCCCGTCCCGAAGGAGGGCATGCTGGCCGTCACGTGAGAGTGACGTAACCATTTACACAGTTCGGAAGCTTTAAAAATATACAACTTCTAAGATGAACCACCCGAAAGTGAGTCCTCATTCGGTCCATTCTGTCAGAACACCGTTGAATTTCCTCGTAGTTACCACACCTTTGCAATTCTTGAACCTGGAGGGGCGCAAAACCAAAATTGAGTGGGTCAGTAAAACAAATCTTTTCCAAATCCAAACACTTCTCAAAACTTTGTAACCCCTCTCCGTAAAACTTGTATACCTTCCCAGAAATAAAGTATATACTCATATATGTAATATATCTCAAATTATGCTAGACAATATGAATGTATGTCATGCCAAGTATCATAACAGAATGCTCATCGTCTCTATGTGAATATGATGGAATAACATATAATCAATTCAACATTCGGCTATAAACATAGTTCATACTCTTTCATTCTAATCAACTCAGCCCTCGGCTGCATATATAACTCATAATTAACTCATCACATCAACAACATAACATCTGGCAGCCGGAGTCACCTAACGTGACCTGTACGGCTGCATATAGAGCTCAAATCATACTCACAATAACTAAACAACTGAACCTGCCCACGAGTCGGAACCACCTAATGTGGTCTGTACGACAGGCCTGGGTGTTACGTATATATACGTTCTAGTGCTACGATCACGTAAGACTGGGCGAATAATCGCACGTCACCTACGAGTCGGAACCACCTCATGTGGTCTGTACGACAGGCTATGCACCTAGCTTGGATCCAAGCTGAGCATAAGGTGCGGGGAGGTGAACATCACGTGAAGGACTGGCCCTGCTCAGGGCGAGCACTAACACCGGGGATCAGGTTATGAGCTCTCTAAGCATATCAAGCTACTCATTCTTCATATCTCAATCGTATTTCAATCATATCACAATCATAACTCAATTATATCACAAACATATCTCGATCATGTCAAAATCGCATCTCAATCATATCACACTCATATTTCATTTGTATTTCCATAGTATTTCAATCGTATACCAAACGTATTTCATGCGTATATCGAATGTATTTCATACGTATATCAAATGTAGCTTACCTGGGCCTCCTCAGCACCATGCAACAGTATGCATAATTATGGTAATGCACATATTAAAATATGATGCATGTATGAAAGGATATTTAATTCGTATTTCTTTTAAAATACGTTTTCTGGGAAATACGTCAAGTATATATATATGGAAAACAAAACTGCCCACTCACAGATCACATCGACGTCTCGTGGGTCCCTGAGCCTCCCCTAGATTGGTTACATTCTTCTTCTGTATAATTTTCACCTATACAAAAAAATAACCAAATTGACGTTATTTAACGCGCATACACCGAACATTCGTCAATAACTTTCTCATACGTTGCTCGATTTGGGTATGTGAATATACCACGGTGATCTACACGACGTCACGAACGCGTGAAAATTTTCAGAACTCAATTTGGGGGTCCCACGCGCCCTCACGCGCCCAGTCTACGCGCTGCCCACGCGCGCGTCTTCTTCCTCGCGTCGCCGGACTGGTTTCGCCGGAGGTGGGTGTTTGCCGGAATTTCTGGGTAAATTTCAAAGTGTCATAACTTCTTCGTTTCTTAACCATTTTCGACGTTCTTTATATCAAAATGAAGGTATTGACGAGACGAACACATCCATACCTGCCTTGACCCCTAACTCGCCGTGGATTCGCCGGAAAAAGCCTCGAAAGCTCCGGCCAACTTTGAACCAAGCTATCCCGACGTCCAAATTTGTCCAACGAAGCACTCCGAGCTTCCTTAGGACCTCACCAAGCTTCCTACAAGCTTCAAAATCCCAAAAACATCAAGTTTTACGTGTGCATGAACAGTGCACACGCACAGTGAAATCGAAATCCATGTTTTCCGAAGTGAAACTCACCTGAAATTGGTACCATCGTGTTCGTGTGGTCCTCAGGAATACGATGGTGGTCTTAGATCCTTCGTTGGTATAGTTTTAGGGTGGTTTGTGGGTGGTCCATGTGAGTTCGAAGGAGAGAGAGAGAGAGATAACTCTGAGATTTGTGAGGGAGAAGAGAGAGAGAGACAGGGTACGGGAATGAGGGAGAGATTTGAGGGATGTGGGATCCTACCCAATCCCCAAATCATCAAGTTACAACATATTTTACGCCCCTTAGTCCCGTTTAAGGGCATTTTCATAACTTCACGTCCTCGGAATTAAAATTCCGGGACGGGTTGTGACAACCTTCCCTCCTTATAGAATTTCGTCCCCGAAATTCCAACAACCAACTAAATCATCTAAACTCATACAATAGCTTCGGATAAATCTCTCTCATCCGATTCTCCTTCTCCCACGTAATTTCTTCCACTAAAAGCTTTCTTCACAAATTCTTTACCAATTACACTGTCTTAATTCTCAATACATTCTTTTTCCCATCTAAAGTCGTCCTTGATTCCTTAACCAGTCTAATCCGGATTAATTCTCAATAGTTGCACCGGAACTCCATGTGACGAATCTGTCACCTAGTGACAACGCATCGAAATATAATACATTATGCACCTTAGCCAATTCTGAAGACATCACCACTTGTATGCAACTTCATCGATTCCTTTAGTGGTCAAAAACGGTCTGATGTGTTTAAGGCTTATTTTGTCTCCTTTCCAAATCTCACTATTTCTTTTCATGATAAAATTTCTAAAAATGTTGAATCATGAAACACATCATGCTCTTACAATAACTCTGGAAGTAATTCAAGCAACTTCACCTACTCTTCGATGATCACATAAAGTCCGATGTACTTAGGACTTAATTTGCTTTCCTTTCCAAGCCGAATCATACTTTTCTAAAGTGAAAACTTCAAAATTATAAGATCATCTACGTTAAACACTCGATTAGTGACATGTTCAACTATTAATCTCTTTTGCCATTCCTGGCTACTCTCAGGTTAAACTTAATCACCTGGATACTTTGAGAAGACTCATCCATAGTTTCAGGGCCTACCAAAACTCTTTCGTGATCGAATCTTCTTTATCCAGAAGTATTTCTTCCACAAATCAGCCAAAAATCGACACATTTCATGGTCCTTATGGCGTTACATCGGAAACTGCGCAACCAACATACTTAAGAAACTCAGCAGTTCCGTAACCCAAATCTCTTCTCCATAAAACATATAAGTACTGTTGCACTGTGGTTGTTACTCAACACTGGAGTAAATGTACTAACTTGGTACATTGATCAACTAACACTTCAAGTTCAATCATAACCATCCTATTCTCGAACTCGGCAATCTTTCTTTGCCTTGGTTAATTCTTAATTTTCTTCGTTAACCATTTGAGTCTTGAGTACGACCTTACTAAAAAGACTTAACTTGAAAATTAGCAATTACCACTTCTTCTCAATCTTCCATTCTCAACTTTACTTCAGTTGATTTCCAATCCACAAGAAGACAATCTTGGCAAGTGTGTCAGACATTAACTCTTACCACAGTCTTTTCACCAAGTGCATAAGCTAAAACAATTTTACGATCACCCTGGTCGTATAATCATGTTCATTAAACAATTCAATCCACCTTCGCTGCCTCATATCAAAATCCTTCCAAGTAATGGATATTGGAGACTTTTTGGATTCATAAAAATCTTGCATTCTTACATAATGTCTTCATAACTTCACAACAAGAATGGTAATCATGACTTCCAAATCACCAGTAGGGTAATTCATTTCATGAGGTTCTTTTTGTCGTGAAACGTACGTAATCACGCTAACATTTGCATCAACATGCATCCAATACCATTCAAGAAACATCACTAAAAATTTATGATTACCACTATTCTCTGGGAATACTAAAATACGTGCATGAGTAAGGAAATACTTCAACTGTTGAAACCTTTACTCATAATTATCATCCCACTCAAACTTAACCTCTTTTCTTGTCAATGGCAAGACAATGACTGAAAAATCTTTCACGAATCATCCATGATAGCTAGTTAAGCTAGGATAACTCCGAATCCCAATCACGATTCGTGGTTGTTCTAAATTCTCAATTTCTGCTACCTTTTAAGAATTCACTTGAATACCTGAAGCATTTATAATATATCTCAAAAATGCTACTTGATTCATCCAACATTGGCATTTGCTAAACTTAGCATACTATCGACGTTCCTTCGATCTTTGCAATACCAATTTAAGATGTTTAGCATACTTTGCTTTAGTCTTATCAATCTTTTCAATAACAACAACAACAAATCGGTCTAGATATCATTGGAATACTTCATTCATCAAATTCATAAAGTAGTAGATGCATTCGTCACTCCGAATGGCATCACCAAAACTTGAAATGACCTTAACGAGTCCTGAAAGTTATCATAAGGACATCCTCACCGATAATCTTCAACTAATAATATCTAGACCTCAAGTCAATCTTAGAAAATATACAAATACCTCTGAGCTGATTCATTAAACATCAGTACACTATCATGGATAACGGTTCTCAATCGTTACCCGATTCCATGGTCTATAATCAATGGATAGTCTTTAAAGTCCATTTTCTTTTTCACCAACGAACTGGGCTTCTCAAAAGTGTTGTATTAGGTTGAATGAAACTTTTATCAACCAATTCTTTCAACTAAATTTCCAATTCTCTTAACTCATCATGAACTAATCTCTAACATAAAATTTTATACCTGGAACAAATCGATACTGATCTTCACATTTCTGCCTGAAGGCAATCCAGGTAAATTCTCAGGGAATACGTCAGGTAAATGTTTGACTACTCCCACTTCTTCCACACTACTAGAAGTGACATCATTTAGTACCACATGAGATAAGTATCCTTGGCAGCCTTTTGGTAATAATCTCTTTGCTCTCACAGCATAAATAACGGCCTGCCTCACTCTACTTTGCATATTTACAAAAGTAATCTCTAGTCATCCAGACCGATGGAAAATAACTGGTTTCCCGTAGTAATCTATCTTGTCACGATTATAAAGTAACCAATCTATGTCTAGAATAACATCAAAATCCACAATCTAGTGGAACAAAAGTAGCTGGCAACAATACATACTCTACTATTACTGAGCACTCTGAATAAGTACGATACTAACATAAGATAACCTACCGATTTACTTGCTTAACGAATCCACGAATAATTTATTAATATTACGGTCTGCAGCCCGCAATACTGATAAATCATCGTTGTCTCGATAAGTAAGCAACAACTCTTGAGGGTGTAATATTACTATTTTGCCACTCATTGGGAAATACATACACACGTCTCAATCGCGTTTATTTACTACTTTCTAGGCAATATCATTCATAATACGAAATATATCAGCCATAGTCAACTAGAATGACTTGTACGGCTGATTCTCTAGCTCAACCATCTATGCTAGCATATTAGTCGGAGTTACCTATAGTAACCTGTACGACTTACTCATCAATTCCTCATGTGTCAGCCGAATCCACCTTTCGTGGTCTGTTCGGCTAAACATTCAACTTATCAAACATCTTGGCACCCACAGTTCATATAACCTAACTAATGATCCAAACACCTGCTGGACTGATATTGGTGGTAACAAGGAAACTGTCGGGTAAAAACTAATTCTAGGAACAATTCATAACTCTATATCCCTTCTGTCTATACGAACACATTCACTGATTCCACACTTTCCAAAGTGTTTAGTCTTGTACCTGCTGCACAAGGTACATTTCCCTTACTCGAGTCACCTTGACTCTGAATCTGGAATTTTCAGTAAATCTATCACTTTAACTTTGACCAGTGGCATTAAAACCTCAGCTAGGAGAATTAGCTCTAGCTTCACTTCTCTTGAAGCTCTGAATCTTTCTATATTCTTGATATGACGAATCATTAACTTTATCGTCCTCTTTTGATTCCCATTCTTTTATCATTCTTCTTTACTCTCGCTGAACGTGTTCTCAGAGTCCTCTAGACTCAACAACATCTTGTATGCTCCTGGTAAGAATTACAATGGATAGTGGTCACCCAAAATACTACTGCCTTATGCCACCCAGCCTAAAACAATATAACATTTCAATCAAAATAGCAGCAATATTCGAATGGGACGAGGCAAGTCTGAGAACTTTCTATAATACTCATTGATCGTCAGCTTTTCTTGTCTCACATTTGCAAACTCTTGCTTTCTACCATCATAAAATGTCGAATGAATAATTCTTTTCTTTAAATAAGTCCTTAAACAATTCTCAATCGGCTGTTTCCTCCGGTGACAACGAATTATACTCCTGTTTCCACCAGGATACAAGTTCATAATTCAAACCAGGTGGTCATCTCAACCCTTCTGTCAAAAGGAAGATTCCTTTGACTTGCATAACCTAAAACATCATTTCCAATTGGTTAATCCATCACTTTGCTCCCTCAGGTTCATCATTTCATAAGGTGATTCAAATTCAACTCATAACCCATCTTAAAATGTCCCTTTAGATAATATACTGAATCACCAAAATAATAGTTTCCCCCTAACAGCTAAATCAGGGAGACTAAGTTCCTCTAACTACGTGGTTTGCTACGAGGCGGTGTAGTTCTGACAGAATTCACTAGAACTTCTCAAGATGTCCAAGATTGAAACTAAGCTCTGATACCAACTGACACACCCCGTCCCGAAGGAGGGCATGCTGGCCGTCACGTGAGAGTGACGTAACCATTTACACAGTTCGGAAGCTTTAAAAATATACAACTTCTAAGATGAACCACCCGAAAGTGAGTCCTCATTCGGTCCATTCTGTCAGAACACCGTTGAATTTCCTCGTAGTTACCACACCTTTGCAATTCTTGAACCTGGAGGGGCGCAAAACCAAAATTGAGTGGGTCAGTAAAACAAATCTTTTCCAAATCCAAACACTTCTCAAAACTTTGTAACCCCTCTCCGTAAAACTTGTATACCTTCCCAGAAATAAAGTATATACTCATATATGTAATATATCTCAAATTATGCTAGACAATATGAATGTATGTCATGCCAAGTATCATAACAGAATGCTCATCGTCTCTATGTGAATATGATGGAATAACATATAATCAATTCAACATTCGGCTATAAACATAGTTCATACTCTTTCATTCTAATCAACTCAGCCCTCGGCTGCATATATAACTCATAATTAACTCATCACATCAACAACATAACATCTGGCAGCCGGAGTCACCTAACGTGACCTGTACGGCTGCATATAGAGCTCAAATCATACTCACAATAACTAAACAACTGAACCTGCCCACGAGTCGGAACCACCTAATGTGGTCTGTACGACAGGCCTGGGTGTTACGTATATATACGTTCTAGTGCTACGATCACGTAAGACTGGGCGAATAATCGCACGTCACCTACGAGTCGGAACCACCTCATGTGGTCTGTACGACAGGCTATGCACCTAGCTTGGATCCAAGCTGAGCATAAGGTGCGGGGAGGTGAACATCACGTGAAGGACTGGCCCTGCTCAGGGCGAGCACTAACACCGGGGATCAGGTTATGAGCTCTCTAAGCATATCAAGCTACTCATTCTTCATATCTCAATCGTATTTCAATCATATCACAATCATAACTCAATTATATCACAAACATATCTCGATCATGTCAAAATCGCATCTCAATCATATCACACTCATATTTCATTTGTATTTCCATAGTATTTCAATCGTATACCAAACGTATTTCATGCGTATATCGAATGTATTTCATACGTATATCAAATGTAGCTTACCTGGGCCTCCTCAGCACCATGCAACAGTATGCATAATTATGGTAATGCACATATTAAAATATGATGCATGTATGAAAGGATATTTAATTCGTATTTCTTTTAAAATACGTTTTCTGGGAAATACGTCAAGTATATATATATGGAAAACAAAACTGCCCACTCACAGATCACATCGACGTCTCGTGGGTCCCTGAGCCTCCCCTAGATTGGTTACATTCTTCTTCTGTATAATTTTCACCTATACAAAAAAATAACCAAATTGACGTTATTTAACGCGCATACACCGAACATTCGTCAATAACTTTCTCATACGTTGCTCGATTTGGGTATGTGAATATACCACGGTGATCTACACGACGTCACGAACGCGTGAAAATTTTCAGAACTCAATTTGGGGGTCCCACGCGCCCTCACGCGCCCAGTCTACGCGCTGCCCACGCGCGCGTCTTCTTCCTCGCGTCGCCGGACTGGTTTCGCCGGAGGTGGGTGTTTGCCGGAATTTCTGGGTAAATTTCAAAGTGTCATAACTTCTTCGTTTCTTAACCATTTTCGACGTTCTTTATATCAAAATGAAGGTATTGACGAGACGAACACATCCATACCTGCCTTGACCCCTAACTCGCCGTGGATTCGCCGGAAAAAGCCTCGAAAGCTCCGGCCAACTTTGAACCAAGCTATCCCGACGTCCAAATTTGTCCAACGAAGCACTCCGAGCTTCCTTAGGACCTCACCAAGCTTCCTACAAGCTTCAAAATCCCAAAAACATCAAGTTTTACGTGTGCATGAACAGTGCACACGCACAGTGAAATCGAAATCCATGTTTTCCGAAGTGAAACTCACCTGAAATTGGTACCATCGTGTTCGTGTGGTCCTCAGGAATACGATGGTGGTCTTAGATCCTTCGTTGGTATAGTTTTAGGGTGGTTTGTGGGTGGTCCATGTGAGTTCGAAGGAGAGAGAGAGAGAGATAACTCTGAGATTTGTGAGGGAGAAGAGAGAGAGAGACAGGGTACGGGAATGAGGGAGAGATTTGAGGGATGTGGGATCCTACCCAATCCCCAAATCATCAAGTTACAACATATTTTACGCCCCTTAGTCCCGTTTAAGGGCATTTTCATAACTTCACGTCCTCGGAATTAAAATTCCGGGACGGGTTGTGACATGTAACCTCATTTTCTAAACCCTAACGCTATATGTATATATTTTTTTTTGTTGAATACATTAATATTTGTATGTACTTGACCAATGTAGTTAACAGCTATTACGTACGTAGCAATATGGCAATATCCAAATAGCCAAAAGCTCAAAAGCCATATTAAGATTATCTTTAATTTCAAAAGGGAAAAAAACAAGAATCATCTCAATTTCTCGGGTTTGAAAACTATATTTCTCTATTTATATTAATGTTAGAAGTGTACATTAGGAGTTTCATTTAATGATTATTGAGTATGTCATCAATCACTCCTTTATGCATGTTCCATTATAATTCTTATATCTGAATTGCTCCATTATACATACACATACATATATATACATCACCAATTGAATGATGGCGAAGTAATAAGTTGACATTTGTGCATGGCATTGGCACACTAACATGTATCTCATTCTCACTATTAAACTAGCATTGGCTAGCTGAAGTTTTTAATAATTGGACAATATAAAAGACTCCTTATTCCAATAGTAAAAGGCTGTCCATGCAATATACAAATCCAAGAATAAAAAGAACACGATACAAAACGATAGTATTTTTATGTAGGAAATAGCAGATCAGAGCTTATATCAAAATGCGACAGATGGCAGCCTATGGTTAGCCAAAAAGTGTCTGATGATCTGGAGAGAACGCCTGGGAGCAAAATGTGAATAAATTTTTAGTTGTGATGGGAATACAAGTAGTACACCATGTGTTTTAATAGGAGTGGTGGGAAATTTTATTTTTTAAGTTATTAACTTTTTAGTACAAATATCGGATCATTTATATAATAACATGTGATGTACCATTCTGTATAAAAATATCTCCAAAATGTGGGAACTTGACACCTCTCACTGTTAAGAAAGTCAACCCCTCATACTCTATGCTCCACCCTCCAACCTAATTAATAAACCATGCATTCATACATTCATTACCTCCTTATTACTAAATCATTGTTATTAACCCAATATCATCTCCAATGATCACAAGTTTGATACTTTTTACTTTACCGCCGCCAGTAATATTTAGCCTTTTTTTTTTTTTTCTTTTCATTTTTCTGTTTTATCAAACGCTTGTGATTAACTGTAGGTATAATTTACCAAATAAAGAAAATAAATATGAAGTAGGTAGACCTACGAATATTCCAAGGAAAGCAAGTGAAAATTATAAACCTTAAGATTCCTTCCTTTGAATGGTTTGATCTTTTTTTATCCAATCCTTTTATAGAAAATTAGACATTCAATTTAGACACTGATTTCAGCTAAACCCCACAATTTATTTATCTATTTATCTTACACGTTTTTTTGTTTCCTTTTCTTCCTTTTATTGACATTTTTGGCATTTTAAGATACAACCAATTATATCTCTACGGTGCACATGATGCTTTACCACATTAGTGGAAAGTAATTATATTTATGCGCTCTTGTGCGGGTTCAATCCCCATTGATCCCCTTCCTCCTAACAATTAACAATTTAAGTCACTAACATTATGGTTTATCAAAAAAAAATATATAAAATAAAAATAAAATATTAGCTCTCTATGGTTGTACCGTGGGGTCCAGTCCTCAGTGATGTTTAGGCCAAGCTTGTTCAATGTATACCTTTTTGAGGTCACCGGAACCCTACCATCTGCATCTCCACTATTCACAAGAAAATAAAGCAAAAATACACTTAAAATTCCAAAGTACACAATGAATTTGCACGAAAACTTAAATTAGTTGTCTTCATCTTTTATATCTTGGGATTATGTTGCACACATTCTACATATTTAATTGTCTTTATCTTATTCATTTATTTAATTAGTTTTTAGGTAGCTAGCAAGAGAGTGAATTGCAATTACATAGTAAGTAAATATACCTGTAGATCCATACACAAAGATGTCCATCAACGAGTTTTTGGATAATTTGAAGAATTGAAAAAGCCCAGTCCGTCCATGCATTGCTTACATTAGCACTATTACGTGATAGAAAAGTTAACAGTCGATATGTTAATAGCAAACTAATTATGTATAGAGCAATATAATCAACAAACTTAATTCTAAATGAGTAGTGATCATTCCGAATTTTCTTTGATATACGTATATTAAAGTATAATCTTAATGAAATTACTTGCAACTCCTCCATGAATACGGTACTTTGGTTACGTTTACATGCAATGTTTCTTGAACATCTGGACGATTGAAGTATGTTGTTGCATAGGTCATTGTACACGGATCGTAACCTCCTCGACTACCTGCAGGTATTCTCCGCAATGCATCCTGCTCCATTGCAAATTAAAGAAGAACTAATCTTAATTAATTTTCCTTTATTCTTGTCTTGCATTTTGCACGGTGAAACTAGAATATGAATTGTGAACAAGAAAATAAGGAACATTAACTAACATACAAATCGAGAATCGAATTTGAGTGGCAGTTTCTGCTTATTATTCATTACAGACGACGACGACGACGACTTGGTGAAGGGTCTGTCGAGGGGACAAGTCCGAGAGTATATGCTATATATATCGATGAGACTGTAAATATCGTAGTACTTGAGTTAGTAGTTCCAGCATTCTGTGGTTAAGTTTTGTTTGCTAAAATCACAATTTGCCTTAATTGATTTGTACAAAACATCAGATATCAGGGCATGTCCCCATGAATAGTCAATCATCCCAGTTGTGTCTGTTTCATCGTCCAACAAGGCATTCCCAATCTGCATTTTTCATAATTCACTAACTTAAGGATTTAAGTGATATTTTTCACTGTGATGACGTGCCTGTATATATACGTATTGAGATAATTAATTACCATCAAACCCTTGAGGTTTATATAGTCATCCTTTGTTGATTTCTTGTTCTCATCGAATATAACCTCTGCCAGTTGTGGGACGTAGTGCCCTATATATTATTTATCGAATACTTAAGAACATATTACTAATTAATTTATGCAAAAAAATAAAAAAAATCTCAAGGATGGAGAAAGTATTTGTAGTGCTTCAGGATTAATATTAGTATGTATAAAACTGATACAGGGAATAGTTGAGAATTCATATTTGTATGCAATACATAGATATGGTAGTGTACTGTGTACCTGCATAGCTTTCTCCTGCAATGTAGAACCCATTGGATTTGTATTGTGGAAACCTCTTGAACCACTTTAGAAGGAATGTGTGTGAATCCCGAGCTGCATGCATGGCGGCATTAGGGAGGAAACAAAACATACTTTCGCACGCACGCATGAAAGGTAATTAAGTAGAATTAAAACGTAGCAATAGTCAACATTAATGATTTTAATACATAGCGGTAATCTTTTTTTTTTTGTTTTTTTTTTTTTGGGGGTTTTGGGGGGGTGTTTATAAATTAAAGACAGAGAGAAGGCTTTTCCGTATAAAATGGTCTTATTATTATTATTATATTTTTTTGAACAATCGATATTATTTACATTAAGGAAGAAGTGAACTTAATCTCATAATGGGTTAGCAATAATGTGTTTCAAATAAAATGGTCTCATTATTATATCTGACAAAATGACAAACAAACCTGTGATATTGTCTCCATGGACCTCCAAACTATTATTCAAGTAGGAAAACCCAACACCAGTCGGTGCGTCCAAAAATAATAAATTTGCAGCTGATGATCAAGTACGTACATTCATGTTTAACGAAAAACCAGATCAGACAAGACAACAATTAGTAATTCTGTATTAATTTTCAATCTTCCGGGCCAGAGGATTACTTAAAACTAGCTGCATAGCATGCCTTCATCAAATTGTAGCCATATTAGTTTAGAAATTGAGAAAGCTGGAGATTCAAGATAACGTGCATTTATTCCTATGGCGTGTTTACTAATCCGTAATCAAAAGGAAGGGAATTGAATTGAGGAGGAATTGAATTGATGTGGAATCAGAATCGGAATCGGAATATGAATGATTTAAACTGTTTACTAATTCACATGAATCAGAATGAAAATTAATGTGATTACTAAAGTATCCTTGTGTCGGGTAATATATATAATTTTTTTTGGATTGAAACACCCTAAAACAAGGCCAGCTAGAACAAAAGGGCCATCAGTTTCTCTCTGTGCCGATACCAGCCCTCGTTCTGCAGCCGCCACCACCACCACACACAAACTTTTTCTATCGATACCAACCCTCTGTTTCGTTTGCATCTCACC